CAGTAATTTAATGCAATGCTGCGATGGCCAAGAGGCCAAAAACAGAAGACCAAAGACATCTATGACTTGCCCAAGGTCAAGTAGTAGAGTTAGTACTAGCTGCCTGGCACTTGCATCATTTATCCTGTCTCTGAGGCCATTGTCTTTCCATTTCACTTCCATGCCTGGGTTACTTTTTCCTGTCTACTGCTTTCCTTTAAGAAAAATTAAAAAAAAACAACCATAGAGACTTATTCTTTGCACAAGATGTACAACTTATTTCACTGGCTGTGTTTTTTTTCCCAAATGTCAAGCAGAGGTTATAGAAAAAAGAGACTAAGATCATAAAGTTTAAATCACAATGTGACAAGGGACTTTGACAATTTACATTTCAGGTTATCCTTATAGAGGAGACCATCTGATAACCCTGGATTCAAAATTTCTCATATTTTGTAGAAAAAGATGAAGAAAATCATGTTTCTATAACATATGTGGCTCTTTGTATCTCCTTGGAAGGGCTTCATAAAAACGATTGAATAAAATATATGGACGAATTTGAAAATTATTAATAGTTAACTTCTGATCATCTGTTCCATAAAGTTTGGGGCCAGCAGGTAATCTATTCAGTCTGATATTACAATGTGAAGCTACTGGTACAATCCACAAAAACCAGATGTCATTATCATTCAACAGAATAAGCAAAACAAAATTGTAGTGAATGAGAAGTGCCAAGCAGCAGGGAAGAGTTTTCAAGTTATTATATCATTAAAGAGAGCATCTGGGTGACCTCTGAAACAACAAAGAGGTATAACATTAAAGTCACCTTATTTGAAACACTAAGAGGCTTACTGCATAAGTGACAGGAAGGATAATTTTTTCTTATCATCAAATAAATGTAAAGGTCAGATGGGGGGATAACATTGTAAGAAATAAAGAAGAAGTTTTGTTGAATGGGTAATGTACTTAAAATAAATAGATGTGTGGTAAAATTTACTGCAAGAGTAAGAGAAAATGTATAAAATAGCTTAAAAGACAGAAATGGAGAAGTGGGAAGATATAGTTTTTCAAACAAATGTGGGAGAGAAATTAACATTCACTTTTCCAAGGGACAGAGCAATGAATGAAGAAAGAAATGTATAGGTAAATATATTTTGATATAATTTTAAGGAAAAACTGCTAATGATGGTTATTATCTAATGAATAGCTGATAGAAGGCTTTAAGTTCTCCATCCTTAGAGTGTTCTGGTAGAGGGAACAGACTCCTTCCTACTTTTCTGTGGGATTCTGATGTACCAAACAGGGTTGAAAGAAGAGAATATCTAAGAGAGAAGCTTTTCAATCCTGAGATGTAAGAAGTACTTAGAGGAAAAAGTACCTAATATATATGGTATAATTCAGCTATTTTAGCTGAGAAACTAGAAGTGTTATTACTGAGATTCTAAAAAAATATAAGGTCTGTGCTTTCACTGAAGGGTAGATATTGAGACACTTTCTAAAGTGCGGTGATCCAGCCACAAACATCTAAAGAAAGTAATGGAGTTTCATTTTAGATCAGTTTGCTTACAGAACTATGAATGAATAATATAGAAGAAATTTTTCCTAAGAAGTGGTGTGAAGTGCTTTAGAAAGAAGAATAGCTTTTCAGAGAAAACAATAGAGTGTTCAGGTGGTAAATCACAGAATCTGAATTATTCATACTTCCTTCGGGGGAGGAGAATAGATGAGGAAGCTAAAAAAGACATGAACATAGGGTAGTAAAGGGAAGAGGAGGTGGGAAGGAACAATAGAGGGAGAGCATTAATAAATATTTTTGTCTAAAACGAGATAATTGGTTTCTTGGGTGCCTTCCATAATTTTTTTATTCTCTCCCTCACAGTCATTTTTCTTTCAGAATATTATAAAATGAATAATTTTCTTTCATTTCCAAATTCAGCTTGACAGTTGCCTTGGAAGCAATAATTATGTTTTCCTTACATAAGAGAAGGTTATTGTTGAAAGTTCAATTTTTTTAAAGCTATTCTTTATTTTAACACTCAAAACAGTTAAGGATTATGTCACAGCTATTTTTGAAATCATTGTATCTACAATAAATATCAAGAAATGGTAACAAAATAATAGCATAATGCCTGGAAAATCCTTTGAAGAATTATTTAGATTTTGAGTTTGTTTTAAGGATTTGAAAAAAAGCTAGAAATTTAAACAGAACCCTGAGAAATCAGCATACAATATCCAGAGTGACGTTATAATGGGAGCAGCTGAAGAAATACCAGAAGAGTTGTTTACAAACTCTTAGAACAATGACTCATGGGTCCCATCACTAAATATTTATGGCAGTCATTCTTTAGAATGAAACTGTCCTCTTCATTTCAATTTATCACTGTGTAGAAGACAGGTATCTCAGTTTATTTCATTCCTAAGAAAACAAAGTTTATATCCTTAAAGTGAATTTTTAGGTCTTATACCCTTAAAACACTTTTCTGGTTCAAAAGACACCACTTCCTAAGAACAAACTTTTACATGAAAGGCAAAAACAAAGAAAACAAAAAATTCAGAATGTCTTAAGAATAAAACCGGTAGTTCTACCATGCAGAATAGTTCTTATAGCTAACAATACTGTATTACATACTTAAGATTTGCTGAGGTTAGATCTTTGGTTAAGAGTTCTTAGCACATATACACACTAATAATAACAACAATAATAATGGTAATAATAATTATAGGGATGGGAGAAGACTTTGGGAGATAATGAATACATTTATGGCCTTAATGGTGGTGGTTGTTTCATGGGTATATACTTATCCCTACACTCATGAAGTTATATTGATTAAACGTGCAGTTTTTTACATGTCAATTATACCCCAATAAAGTAGTTTAAAAAAGAAAATAAAATGATAGTAATTTCAGGTGGTAAGAAAGCCAAAAACTCTTTGTTGCCAGTTTGATTAAAGTCATTAATGCTTTATTTTTTGCCCATGCAATTTGACCATACATTTTCTCCTACCAGAGTTTCTTTTTGAATGCTGTCGATTGCCTGGGAAATTGTATATGCTCAATATATTACTTGTTAAATAAAGAAATTAATGAATGACTGAATGATAACTAGAGGAAGGAACAAATTGACTGACAAATTCTAGGAAACAAATGCAAAGACCATTCTTAGTGGTTACAAGCACAGATGCAAGTCAGATTGCCTGGATTTGAAACTCAGCTCTGACTATCATTAACTATCTGAGGGCCATGACAAGTTAGTTAATCTCTCTATACCTCAGTTTCCTTTTGCTTATATAAAATAAGCCATTGTGAGAATTATATGTTACATTATAGAAAAGCTCTTTTAAAAGTGCACAGGATATACTTAAAGCCAAATAAATATTAAAATATTATAAATATCTCATTTAAATAATTCAATACAAAGGTCATTGACAACTAGGAAATTAGAGTGAGATTATAAGACAAACTGTCTAGACCAGGGTAGTGGGCACGATGAACTTTGAGGTTCAACCTATAAAACTAGTATGTGTTCTAGAAATTATTATTCTGCTGAGACTGTATAGGTTGATCCTTCCCAAATACCTCTCATGAAAATGTTGGAGATAATGGCTCCTTGCAGACATACAATAGAGCCTCTACATCAGGGGTGTCAAATTCATTTTCACCGGGGGGCACGTCAGCCTTGCAGTTGCCTCTAAAGGGCTGAATGTAATGTGTAAATGTAACTACTCCTTAATAGTTAAGGGAGAGCTCGGTGCTGCTGCTGGGTAGAAACAAGGTACCAGGCTGGATAAAACAAAGGGGAAGGTGAGATTCGGCCCTCGGGCCTTGTGTTTGCCACCTGTGCTCTATAGTATAAGGGCAGACATGAGACTAGATATGACTAGATATACTTATTTTACTTGAGAGCTATCTGCTTTTAATTTTCAGTATGAGATTATTCAGTATAGATTATTCAGTATATTCAGTTTAGATTATTCGGTATATTCAGTATAGATTTGATATGAAAGAGTAAGTGGAGATGAAACAGTTTTATTCAGTGAAATCCCAAATGTTTTGCTTCTTATAATTGTCTGATGTTGCCTTAGTTTAACTGTGGCTTAGGAAGGGTAGCCATGTGTTCATATCAATCATTTCCAGGGCTCCTGAAGCATGTGAGCAGCTGGCAAATATAATGTGTCTGAGGGGAAAAGAGGAAGGGATCAATTTACACATGTTCCACAGCTCAGTTTATGAATTCTTGGAAGTTAGGGGATGCAGTCCACACAGATTGAACAAAGGACCACAGAGAGACACAGAAATGTACCTATCAATAAACCAGGTGATGTTATTATTCCCTTCACTACACAAAGCTCACCTCTTTGGCAGTCTGGCTTTAGCAGCCTCTCTGGCTAGTAGGAGACAGATTACATTGGAAACACAGCATACAATCTCTGTGCCTTGTTTATCTATGAAAACTGGTGAAAATTTAGATTTCTGTTTTTAAAATGTCAACAAGTCAGATGCAACTATATGTGTACTTTTGAGATCTCTTACCACAAAACCTACTCTTCCTTCTTTTTTTTTATTTCTGCCCATGTTCAATTGCTATGGAATGAATTGTGTTCCCTTTCTGCAAATTTGTATCTGAAGTTCTGACTGCCAATATATCTGTATTTGGAGACAGGGCATTTAAGAAGTAATTAAGGTTGTTAATTAAATGAGATAAGAGGGGAGCTATGATCCAGTTGGACTGATAGCCGTGGAAAAAGAGAAGGAGACAGCACAAGCACAGAGCAAAGGCCATGTGAAGACACACAGAGAAGACAGAAGTCTGCAAAACCGGGGGGAGGGACCTCGAACAGCCACTGAATAGGCAAGAACCTTGGTCTTGAACTTCCCAGCTTCCAGAACTATGAGAAAATATTTCTGTTGTTTGAGCCACCTAGTATATGCTATTCTGTTATGACAGCCTGAACCAACTACGATTAATACATTGGGAAGCAAGAGCTTTATAAATATACGCATAGTTTTGCTTGAGCCACACTCACCATTAGTAGTCTGTCTCCTACTTGCAATCTCCCATCCTTTTGTGCAGCTCCTCCATCTATAATTTTAGTTACATAAATGCTGTTGTCTCCAGGAATGTGTTGGTTCCCCACACCTCCTGCAATGCTGAAGCCTAAACCTATGGGGAAGAAACAGAAAAAGAAAAACATTTTTCAAAGAAAATGCTATTGGCTATATTTCAGCAGTCTAAAAAATTTAATTCTCAATTTATTATAACAGTAATAAATAACAGTGAGGGTTCTACTTAAATTGATTTGCTCTTCTTTACATATTTGAAAGCTTGTTGATAAATGCCAATGAGTCAAAGCTCTTGAAGTCAATCCCATGTAGCTGTTAGTTTTGTTCTGCTTCCTGACTGCACACTTAATCGTTGTTCCCCAGATAGTCAGCTCTTAATGGGGGAGTCGGCACAGTAGGGATCAGGCAAAAGTGTGTGAAAGATCCTGGGTGAACCAGGCAAAACACAGACATAGTCCTGCTCACTCTGAGTTTATGGGATTATCATTGTTGTTGTTGTTACTCCAGCATTAAGAACAGAAGTGTTGCCAATCATTTGGGTAGAGACCTAGATACTCTTGACATTTCAGGATGAAAGGTAAAACTGTTCATAAATTCTCCAAATTTTGAGGCAAGCACCATGAGGAAGATGCATTGGGCATTTAAGTAATAATTTCAGACAGAAAAATAAGGAAAAGGAGCTAGATGCTTGCCACTCCTGTTTTCTTCTCTGGCCACTTTGTCATATTTTCACACTCCTTGGCATTTACTTTTATTAACTAATAGTGAGGCTACTCACATGCAAAAAATGAATTATCCCTATATATTTCTTAAGAATAAAAAAGAGACTATATACTTTGATTTTATTATTTTTATAACATAGTATAGGATATCAAATCATTTTAAACATGGCAATTTTCTATTTCAGGAGATAAATTTTACTGTATTATAGCTTATAAAACTTCTATTTATATAAAGCTATGGAATAATAAGAACAGTTATTAAAATCATTATGAGGTCTTCTTAAAAGAATGATACAGAATCTTTAAAGGCATAAAAATCTTTTTCAGAATATGATTGAATATACATTCAGTATAATACTGGTAGCATATATTTTATTGCACTTTAAATTATAATAATAATTAGCATGGATATTACTCCGATAGATATAAATGAAGTGATTTTGTTAGTTAAAAAACAGAAAATTTCTGTAATTTACTTCATCTAAAAAATTTAAACTATACCTAGTAATCTAATTTTGAAAACTCACACACCTTTTTTATGATAAAACAGCCATAAACGTTTTTTGACACTTTGTACAAAAATAATGGAAAATACTCCTTTTCACTATGCTTTTACTGAATAAATATTGAGTAGGGCTATGTGCCCTTAAGACGACATAAATGATTAGTTAATGGAGGAACAGTGGCATAATAAATGATAAAGTAACACCTCTGAAATTATATTTGAAATAAAATGATTTTTGTTAAATTAACTATAATAGTTTAAAATAATGGGAAATGGATTTCAGTTGATAGAGCAATTAAAATAAGTGTAATCTAATTACCTGCTGAAGTGGGTAATTATTTTTTATTGATGCTTTTACTTCCATATATCTATGCATGTATTTGTTTGCCTTGGATTTAAAAAATTTGTTTATCAAGCAAATGATGACCCAGAATAAATAAAATGCACCCAGCTGGCTTCCCCTATGAAATTTAAAATACATATCAGCTCATGTTTTCTAACCCTATTGCTTTGTATTTGTATATGATTATAGGGGAGTTTAAAAATACATTCACTAAAGTCTCATAGCCACAGGCCATGAGCAATCTACTGCAATTACAGTCCTACAGAAGTCATTCCACTCTGTAGAAAGAAAAGGTTAAAATAAATCCAGAGACCCTGATTTACATCCACCATGACAATGGTAAGAGCCACAGGCAATCTGGGTTACAGCAGAGCTAAGGAAACAAGTCTCCACTGTAAATGAGGTTAACAAAGGAAAACACTATGTACTTGACATTTGAAGTTAAAGATTGTACCAAGACAATGAAATCATCATGAATTCCGTAGACAAAATTATATCACTAAAAAGTAAATGACTTCCTTTTTTTCTGAGATTAGTTTCAATACTTTCTAACTGGTGACTCGACTCAAAATGAAGCAAAATATTTTTAGTAAGAGCCAGAGAATGTCGCTGAAGGTACAGATCTAAAAAAATTCCCTGATTTCTTTTACTTGATTGAACATGAATACATTTACAAAGAATCAACACTTAATCAACATTCAACCATATTCCAAATATTTAATTCAACATAAGTAAATGTGCACCTTACTTCTACATCTAGAATACAAGTTTATTTATAGGTGGTAGTATCTATTTGTGTTATAAAATTTAATCTGTCTCCATTCATTAACTAATTAATTCAATAACTCACTCATATGCCTATTCATTTAGCAAACTGAGTATACACTGTATATTGTTGCTATTGACTGTGGTCAACACAATGGAAGGAATGGATTGACCAGAAACACTACAGAAATAATGGTCCATGAGTGGGTTTGTACACATGAGTGTGGTTGAGCCTGTATGAAGCAATGTTCTAAACTGAGAGGATGCCAGGGATTTTTAGAGGACTTCTCCATGAAGACAAATGTGGGGCTAGTATCACTGAGCAAAAGACCAAATCCGAATAACCAGTTGATAGGCACTGGGTGTTCCTTGTATACAGTCTGTTAAGGCAAGAGCAGACTGTCTACATGATAGGATCATTTTCTCCCCTCTTTAGCTAACATTCTTCTCCTTGATTCCACACTACACATACTTAAAGTCTTGATGATTCTAGAACATGCCAGGCATACTTCCACCTCAGGGCATTTTTTCTAGTGGTTTCCTTGCCTAGAATACAGTTCCTTCAGAGCTTTGTACAAGTTTCAATTTCTTTAAGAGCCTGAACCTGCCGTACTTATTTAATACTGTCCCTTAACGATATCCCTCACTTCCTTATTCTGCTCTACTTTTCATCTTCCCTTAGCATTTATTACCTTGTCATATACTACCTAAATCATGTATATAATTTCTGTTATTTTTTTTGTTGTTCGTGTCATTGGTGAAAACAGAAACTTCATGATGGCAAGGATTTTTGTCTGTTTCATCCTATGCAATAGAACAAGGCTGGTTCTATACACAAGTACCCCTTATCTGTGGTTTTGCCTTTTCATGGTTTCAGTTATCCATGGTCAACTACCATCTGAAGTATCAAATAAAAAAATTCCAGAATTAAAAAATTCTTAAGTTTTGTGTTGTATGCCATTCTGAACAGCATGTTGAAATCTGTCCCAGTGTCCCACAGGAACCACGTGGGACATGAATCATCCCTTTTTCCAGTGTCTCCATGCTGTGCATACAGTACAACGAGATACTTTGAGAGAGACCATATTCACATAATTTTTATTATAGCATATTATTATAATTGTTCTAGTTTACTACCAGTTATTGTTGTCAATCTCTTACTGCACCCAATTACTAAATTAAACCTCATCATAAGCATCTATGCAGGTGAAAAAAACAGTATATACACAGGGTTCAATACTCTCCAGTTTTAGTCACCCACTGCGGGTCCTAGAACATATCCCCCATGAATAAGGGGGGACTGTTGCAGTTACCTCAAAATTATGTATTAAGTAAAAATGAATAAAAACTAAATATAAGGAGACAGGAAAGGTGATTACCTCTGAAAAAAAAAACTCCCCTTAAGGATGAAGCTGGTGGCTTTGATGAGTGAGTGGCAGCTGAAAAGTGAGGCTGTCAGTTGGGGTCGATGACAGTCAGGGGTTAGCCCTGCTTCAGGTGAACTCTGATTGGGCAACAGCACAGTCTGTTTTGCATCCTGATTCTCTCACCTACCAATTGTGTGGAACTCCTGATGTGTAATGAGGGAATAAGTATATCAATGTTCTAAAGTGATTGGCATATAGTAGATGCTTGATAAATAAAAATTCGCTGCTCTCCACAGCTCTGAAGTTGTTTTGGAAAACAATTAACTAAATACGTTGGCATGATTCCAGGAATGGCCAACATTTTTGCCTCTTTGGGCTACACTGGGAGAAGAGTTGTCTTGGGCCACACATTAAATACATTGAGACATGTAATCACAAAGAAATCTCATAATGTTTTAAATAAATTTACAATTTGTGTTGGGCCTCATTCATAGCCATCCTGGGCTGGATGTGGCCTGCAGGCCATGGGTTGGACACCCCTGATAAGAGTTCTGCCATGGTACTAACCTTGTGTGAGTCCAGAGGGGAGCTTGACTTATTTAGAGGAGCAGGAGAATCAACAAAAAGTTGAACATTTGACCTGTGTCTCGAAGGTTAAGCTAGAGTTGATAAAAGAGAATGCACCTTTCAAACCAATACCATCATCTCTGGATTCCAGCCGACTAAATGACTAAAGAGTCAGCTGCCCTGACTTAGATCGCATGATGCTCCTAAAATTCCAGTTCTACTGGGCTGGAAATTGAGACAGAGATTTTCTGCAAATACTCAAAATAAGTTTTTATGAAGAGATAGGCTAGGCTGGTCCCTAACAGGATAAATACGATAATACTCATGAAGATCTGAGTAAGAAACACTAAATATAACAAAAACAATAATTTTTGAGAAGAGACCAATTTAGAAAATTGATCCTTATTTTGAAAAAAAATGTCCACAATTAAAAAATAGCCCTGAATCATTGGCTGATGGTAGACTCATCAATTATAAAATAACTAAGTGAAAAGAGTTGGTAGGTCTCGCCAAAAACACCAACTCTAATTCTATCTACTGTGAAATGTTTGGCTATTAAGAATTATATTAAATATGCCTATACATGTGCCAGTAATAAACAAAGCTGACACAGAAAAATATTTAAGTAAAATCATGGGAGAAAAATCTGCATATTTCAGTGCTCTAAGGGGAAAAAAAGCAAGCAATTAAAAACTGATCTGTTTGACACACATATGATATGGACACAGAATTTCAGGTTTACATGCATTGCCTAAAGCTAGACTCCCCTTTCCTTATTTCTTGCATGTCCCCAAATTGCAGTTCCTCACATTAACATGGGAGGTGTAGGCA